AAAAATGAGAGAATAGCAACAACAACTCAGAAAATATTCACAACTAAAAGACAGAATACAATGAAACCCCTAGACAGTGAATCCAAGCCACATATCTTTTATAAAATCCACTTAACTGAAGCATCAAAAATGTCTTTTCATGACTCATCTTTACCCTGTTTCCAACACAACCGCTCTTTTTTGGAGAGTTTAAGGGCTTTGAGCTCTTTACTGTAGGCTGCTTGTTATGGAACTGAACTGATACTGCTTTGATACTACTTTGCTGTACTTGGTAAAGCTTGCATGTTTGATTCATAAAATATGACTAAGAATGCAGAAGAGAACAGCTGCTGCCCCCACCTTCTGTAGCTGATAATCTATAATAAGTAAGACTTCTAAGAAGTCACTAATCATTTAGGTCATCCCCACTCTACTCGGGCTCATTTGTCCTCGAGGTGTCCCAAGGTCCTAGAGCAGCTGTGAACTAAAGTCTGTCAGTGTATCAGCCTCCTGTGTTGTGCCAAGCACCACATTTTGCTCAGAGTTTCACTGGGGATTCAGTCCAGGTAATTAATCTGAGCTGGTTAGCCACATGGCAAGTAGGTCATAGCAGAATGTGATCCACATGCTGCCGAGGTGACTCAACAGCCACTTACTGTACTCGCACTTAGGTAGCACTGTATTTCTTAACAAACCTGGCTAAATGTTTATGGCCATTGTAGTATGGTTGTCTGTATGCCATCTGTACACCGGCCTGTGGTGACAGAGTATGCACCACTGGCACAGGCAGTAGTTTAACTCAGCTTGGCCCCATAGGAATGATGTGTCTTAAAGGTAGCAGGCTGGAAGGTGGGATAAAAGTGACACAGTAGGTGCTGGCACCTTGCTTTTTGTCACAGCTACCAAGGGACTGCAAAAGTAAAGGATGGCATTATGGAGGAAGGGAGGAGGCAGAGCAGATGAGCTGCATTCCTTCCTGGAGCAAGGGATGATACGTGGGCCTGGGGAGGAGGAGGGGGGTGAAGCGGGACAGGTGCTGAGAGAGAGATTATGTGCCCCTCTCCCCCCTTCTGCTGCGTGGGAGATTGGGCAGAATGGAGAGAAAAAGGACAGGTGAAATATTTCCCCCCTGTGGGAGAGGAAATGAGGGAAAATGGAAAGGGCCAGCTCTGTATTGAGAAAAGGACTAAACCATTCCCAGAGGGGGTGCTGAAACTCCCAGCCCCACAGGCCTCTCTCTAAATGTACCTACCAGTGATGGATGTTATTAACGTTTACCCTCCGCTTTTTCCTCGCTCCTCAGCAAGCCCAGGGAGCTCACTGTGTGTGTGCTGCTGGATGTGTGCACAACCAGCACAACGCATGCCACACAAACCTGGCTCGCTTCCACAACACCCCCAGGCAGTAGAAAGCATATCCCCTGCAACAATCGATAGCTACCCCCAGCTCCCAGCCCCATCTGCAGTCTACTGCAGCCCCTCTCTCCAATGGCTGCCACTACTATCAATTCTGTTCCCCACCACTTCCTGCTTAGAGCCCAGTCTCTGAGATTAAATAGCAACACAGCTCCTGGCATCCTTAGCTTATGGGAGGATATAACTCATTTCCACTTCAGGACCGCATAGGGGTTAACCTCGTCTTAGTCTGAACAATGTCAATTCATTTGCAACAAAGGAGGCTCTTTGTGATACTTTTTACTTTTCCCCCCAAGAAAATAAAATTATAGCCACCAGGAGGTGTTCAAAAAGTGCTTTTAAATGCATGTTAAATACATGCTAATATGATTAGTTAGTTGATTCATTCAGTGTAAAATTAATCTAGAAGGATTTTAGTGGTCAAATAAATGTCTATGATATCAAGCAAAATCGCTAAACAGTTGCTGGTTTCAGCTTCTGAAATATGAGAATGTGATGCCTTTGTCTGTCTTACATGGTTATAAATTGAATATCTTTTAGGTTTGGAATGTTGGTGAGACAAAAGGCACACCCACACATGGTTGGGTTGTACGACGTTTTCTTTTTCCCCGACATTGCAATGTACTGCTCTGATTAATTACTGAAAAACAAACGTGACGTGATCAATCAGTCGGTCATCTGCTGAGCTAAACCAGACAAATCCCAGAGAATCTTGTCTCATTATCAGTTTAATTACTAGATTTAATCATCTCACTCATTAGGTCCAGGGTCTTTGCTTTTGCTCAAAGCTTTAAGGAATTGTTCCCCAATTTCTAAAACATGTTTATTTACTTTCTGTCCAAGAGTGTGATGAGAGGATGGATACCGCTCTCCTGTTGGCTTAAGCTATAAATAAACTACAAACAGTCCCATGACTTCCACAAAGTCCTTTCCTGATCTAACTATCATGATCATGACTGTGTCAGAATAACTTGCAAGTGCATGACTTTCATGGTTTAAATACAGCGGGACTGTAAAGGTGGAGCAGGGAGTACACGTGTCTCTGTTTCATTGTGATGATGTGTGATATCCCGGACAACCTCTGTAGTCTCATTTAGCTACTTGTTAGCAACCACCTTTTTTAAGACATGCAAAATCTTAAAGAATCGCTAGTGTCTTATTTGCTCACATATTTTATGTTGCAAAATAAAAAATGTGAAAATGTATTGGCCTTGTGTTACCACAGACCTTATATCAGGCATCTTAACCAAAAAGCCATTCAATAAACCCACAGACTCTGGGACAAGGGAAGCGGAGGTGCAAAAGTGCTGACTCAGTTCTGTGTGTTAAGACTCACTACTACTGCACTCTATAAGCCTTATATTAAGTTTAAGAAAAATTAAATAACCTCTTCTGACTTGAGCTGAGGCTTTCCTTATTTCACGTGAGGTCTGATACCTCCACTATAGAAATGCTATAACAAATTCTCCTGTGTGAAATTGACATTTGACATTTGACACATTTGACAAGCAATATGTAACAAATTACTAAATAACTAAATGTGTGTTTCAGGTAGCTTGTGGTTATCTGTCTGCTTTAAGTAGAGCAGATTTATTCCATCAAGATGAGTTGAGCAGTTTATGTTTGCTCACTTGGGCATTTTTCCAATTTAATAATGTCCCTCATCTCATGTCTGTCACAGTGGGACTCGGAGCAGGAGTATCCGTTTCTCCAGGGTAAACACATGCTGCCTCAACTTTACTTACGCTCTCTCCCTTTCTCTAAAGTGTACTTAAAGAAGCCTGAATGTACACACAAAACACTGAGTGCACACAGACTCATTTCACCTCTGCAAACATCCAGTGACGTGCACTGCATGGATTAGACTCCCTTTGAAGCTCAGCAAGCAGGGATTTCTTTTTAGGTGATCACTGGTCTAAGCAGCTGTTACATGCAGGATTAGCAGGTTCTGTCATTCAAACACAGTCTGTTTAAACTAGCAGGGTGAAGAAAGTAGAGAAAGACCAGGGGGCGAGGGGAAGGGGAGAGGTTATGACAGGCAGGAGCAGAGATTAAGTCAAAAATAAAGAAGGGGAGAGAGAGGAGGGAGAAAAGGAGGTGTGAGACACATGAAATGGGGAGTGGATGATGATGAGAGAAGGGGAGCGAGATGCAGAGCATAAGGGATGAAAGGTGAAAGGAGCAGAGCAGATGGGTGGAACCGAGAGGTGTGAACAAAAGGATGCAGAGAAGGAGAGGGGGAAGAAGAAGGAATCAAGAGAAGTCAGAGTTACACAGAGAGAAGCGAGAGGAGAGGAAAAAAGCTTAAAGGTATCCAGTGTTGTGTGTCAGACCTCTGCCAAGGAAGCGGCTTAAAAGGTGCTCACAGGGGGAATATTGTTCTCCCTTTGTTTCTCATTTAGTTTTTGTCTCTTGTTTCTCTTCTATAATATCATCCCTCTCTTGTCTCTCCCAGGTTGAAAGTGTGTCATTCAGCCACCTTTGTAATTGTGCTAGAACAAGGGCTTCACAGAAAGGGAAGCTTGATAGGCCAGTAACAGCCTTGGCTTTTAGGGGTGGAGAGACATTTCCATGCTGAGTGCTGGACTCACAATAGCATCTTCACTGCTTGCTTTGTGTCTCTCACCTCTCGAGCTTTCATTCTGTCTCACATACCTCATACTGCACTTAGCCTCCCCATTCTCTACTCTCTTCTGTGTCTTGTAAATTGAAAAACACATCAGGGATTCCTGTTGCTTTATCTCGCCTCTGCTGCTGTTTGTCATTTCGGTCCCCTCTCGCTCTTTCCATTCTCTTGTGTGTTTAGCAAGGTGTGCAACTTTGGGGTGGCAGTGAGGCAGCTTTTTCAGTTTTCCATTTGATGCATCGTGGCACATTTCGCTGGAACAAGCCAGTGCTTTTTGGGAACTCATACCTTGTGTCAGCGCTCCTTCACCTTGCATTCCCAACTTTCACACATTACCCTTCTTGCTCTCTCTGCTCTCCTGTGTGCCCCTCCTTCACTTTCAGCCTCTTCTACTGGATAGATAGGGATATTGTACATTCAGATGTTTACACTCCCACTATCTTATACATGCAGACACAAGTGCAGCCTTTCCAGTCACACGCCACACCACTAGAATTTCTTCACATTCTCATCGGGCTCCAGTGAACTGTAGCTACACATGCATGCACATACATAAGCACTTGACACGCAAACACCCACACATACTCACAGTCATATTCAGGCCTTTTATCCCTTCTTGGTAATCTGTTTACAGAGTGCTGGGCCCATTTGAAGGAGAATTTAATTGAAACCGGGGCTAATCTAATGATGGCACGGAGCGACAGAGCCTCCAGCCCTGCATCACCTCCACTTAGGTTGCACCTTGTAGTCCTCACACTCAGTACATTGCTACTTCATTTCATGCCTCACGGTTCAATGCAGCGCTGCCCACTCATACATGCCACATTGATTATTAATCCCACGTTTGATATGCACCACGCTCACTCAAGTCTGATCTTGTTTTTCTTGTTTGTGTCCCCCCTCCTACATTTTCCTCACTCCCCTCCATATACCCATCACTTCCCTTGTCTTTCTCCTCCTATCCCCGCTCTTTGCTACAGGATGGATATTACTCCCACCGGCCGAAGGAGAAAAGTAGAGTGGACAGCAACAATGAGAACTCGGTTCCCAAAGACTTTGAGAACATAGACAATAGTAACTTTGGTGCACGCTCACAGCCAAACCGGCAGTCTGTTGGGGCCACCAGCAGTAAGCAGCAGCGAGAGCATCCACAGGAGAAGGGCCATGCCCAGCAGCAGGCCTGGCGGGACAACTCTCCCAGTCTAGGCCGCAGCTCAAATGAAGTATTGCCTGTAGGCCACCAGCCACTGGCAGTCGGCAACAACGCTTCCTACCCAGGTGGTCAGGGTGCTGTGGGAGTGCGGCGGCAGCACTACCATCAATCACAGGCCCAGCAGGCCCAGTCACAGCACAGACATCAGCACCCTCACAGGAGGCAGGCGACTGCAGCACCACTGGAGGTTACCTACGACCAGCCACCCAAGTGTGAGATCAGTGGGAAGGAAGCCATTTCAGCTCTCTCCAGAGCCAAGAGCAAGGAGTGTCGACAACAGATCGCTGAGGTGTACTGCCGACATAAAGAAGGGCAGTTAATGCCAGAGAAGGTTACTCGCTACTGCCCCCTTGAGGGTGAGTCCAGGACTGTAATTAAATCGATTGATTATTTTATTTTCGTTCATTCACACTGTTATACCTTTAGACAATTTGAATTCAGCAGTTTCCTAGGGTCAATATCTGTCAGGCTTCGAAGAGTGGGAACATCTGATTTAAGATTATTAAGTTGTAAGCGGTTGTGTTTGGAGCCATTTTTGTAATGTCTAATGCCTTAGATATCAACCCTGAAAGCTTTTTTTCTTTTTCAAATCAGAAGTATTTCTCTTTAACATAAGATTTTCATGACTGAATAAGCAACAATGGAATTTAAATTTTGTCATTCTAAGTTACCATTAACTGTGAGTGTAATACTCAAAAACCTGAAAAATAACTCTGCTTCATCAGGTCTGTGTTGATTTGGGTTGTATTTGATTGACAGTGTTGGCAATTTAAGCAAACAACCCCACAGCTGTCATCACATTTTGTTTCCAATGTTGCTAAGCTCTGATAGGTGGAAATGTGTGGCATCACCTATTCCCAAGAGAAAATAGAGCGCTGAAGGGATGAAGTATTTCTGTAGGCCAACCCGGAAGTTAACATCGCCCTGGTTCATTCGACAAAGAGCCATTGGGATTTTTCCATAGGCTTTTGGATTACTGAGGAAAATAAGTTCTGTGACAAACGATGGTTTATGACACGATTTCTTGTTCAGCAAGATAATCTTCACTATTGAACACCACTTTTATGATGTTTGAAACCCAAATACAATCGCTAGACGTAAAAAGCTATTGTTAGACTTCAGTGTCCCCACCACGGCTTCCAACTTGTAAACTGATTTATAGTGCTTTTATGCATAGTTCAGACCACATGATTTAAGCCCGATAACAGCCCGACACAACGGATGTAGGGCATCGGAACCGACAAACAGTGTTGGACACAACAATAGATCATTTTATCTTGTATAGACAACACGGGCTGATGCGCTCTTCATACAACCCACAGACTGGGCCACGGTTGGCCCCCACCACACCCTTTTTATGCTTTTCCGAACACAAGCAGCCAGTATCACGCACACTGTTCTCCCGGTCCCTGTCATATCCCTCATCCGCGAACTTATGACTCTACTGTATAATCATGTAATCTGACATAGTGACTATTGTATCAAACAAACAATCATGTAGTCTGAACCAGGCATTAGCATGACCTGATCTAGTTAGTGATCATGGCTGTGTCAGTTAATTAGAATAGTTTGCAAGCTCACGAGTTTAAAAAATAACAAGTCTGTAAAGAGGGCTAGTGAGTAGATGAGTCCCTTGTTACCAAACACCTTTTTTATAACATGAAAAAGCATTGAAAATCAGGAGTGGGGTATTTACTGAGGTATTTTATTTCAAAGAACAAAATGTGAACTACAGACCTTATTTCAGATGTCTAACCAAAAACCCATTTTATAAAACCCATTGATTTCAGGGTGAGGGAACCAGAAGCACAGAAATGCTAAGTTCTGAGTTTTAGCACTCACTACTACAGCATGCTATAGAATAGACCATTTAGTCTTGTGTATGTTGACACAGTGAGGGAGGGGCCAGAGGATTTGGCAGAGCTGAACCTTCACATCTAAACTTATAGAAATGAGCTAAATTTGACCAGAAAAAAACATTTTAAACACAATATGAATTTTGATGGGAAAATCATATTTATAGACATCATATGTCAACAAAGCTTTATGAGTTTATGTGTAGAAAAAATTATTTAGGGTGTTGTTCCTCTTTAAACCAGTGAGAAAAACAACACGAATACACAAATCTTTTATGTGAAATAACTAAAACTATTCAAACTTTCGCAGAAAAGTTTGGGTTTATGTAGACATGCTTATACTAACAATCTAGGAAAGAAAATAAGCATTTAGGGTCGTTACCACCTCACACTTGGATTTTAGTATACAGAGTATGTAATGCCTTCTGATTTACTGTAGCTCAGTGGACAAAGAGGAACAATAGCAGTGGGTTATAGGTTATATTTGTGTTTGGAGGCCTTTCTTGCCAAATGCTCTATTTATACATTCATGGTACTGTAAGATGCATAAGGCTAAATAAATCTTATGCAAAACCACAATGAAAATACTGTATATAGGGAAGTGGAATAACCCTTAAAAGTTTCTCTTGCAGTGCTCCTTAAATAAGTGTCCATCTGAAATTGCTTTAAAAGAACTTTCCATACAAGTCCAAAATCAGGAGATCAATAAGTTCACTGAGACTTTATTTTCTGCCTGGCTTACTAAAAGTGCAAAACATAAAGTAAAACTTCCTTGAAATAATGCTGACAGGTTGTCTTGGTAATATTTGACATTTAGATTTTCACATTATTTCCTCCAGCTCTCTTCTGTACAAGCTTTTTTTCACAGACAAAAAGAAAAATAACATCCACAAAGCTCAGCATAGACAGTCTACCCTGACTAGCAGGGCTTTAGTACATGGTAAAATGTTTCCTGGTCTTGTAATGGCAATTCCTGTCAAAGGCAAGAGATGTGTGTTTTTGCTGATGTGTAAATGGTGAAGCAGGCAGTTGGAGAAAATAGGGATACTGCATATTTACTCGCTAATTTAGTTTATAATTTTCATTTATTTTATTTTGCCAAGCTGGCCACAGAACACATTCTTCTTGCTTTTCTCAATAAGACACATAGGCACTTTTTTCCAAAGAATTTATGGACATTTGCCATCTGGTTGGGGATTGTGTAAACAAAATCTGTTTCACTGGTTAGCATGCATCAGCAACCGTGTTTTAAGTGAACAGCACATATACAGTACGCATGCAGTTACACACATGGGAGAGGACTAAATGTAATACGGCAGCAGGAGAGGAGTGGAAAGCTGTTATGTATCCTGCCTTCTCCAGTCAGATACCTTCCCTATCCTTGCTTATGTTATTAGAAGTCGAGGAGGAACAGTGGCTTAGCAACTTCCCAAGAGTAGGAATTCCCAAGAGTAGGAATATCGTTTGTCTGTGCCTAAGCTCCTGTCATCTCACACAGTAACTCACCACCCCACTCAAACTGACAGTTTGATCAAAGGAGACAAAGATATTGAAAAAGGCTTTCCCCTGGTGGCTGAGCTGTAACAACACGACAGCTAAATTAAATCACTTCCCTTTCTTACTCTCCATCTGCCTGCCTGCTGCCTGCTAATATGTTATCTCTCTCTCTCTCTCCTCTCCAATGTTCCCCATCCCAGTTCAAGTCCTAAACTTATTAGCATGAAATTGTCCAGTTACAGTAGGTCTGATCAATATTCTGTCCTTGATTCCTTGGCTAGATTAGCAGTTCTGTTCGCTCAGATATTAGCATCAGTGAACACAGGAGGAACATGTTCCGTCTCTTTGTTTCCCATGTAAACTTGGCTAACAGTGATATGACTAGACTGTGATACTCCAGCAGTCAGTGACCTTGTACCCATCTAGTCTAATGGCCTTGTACTGAAAGGCATATGTATATATTTATGTAAGGGGTCGCTCGAAGAGATGAATCCTAAGAGAGTTATCACCCAGCCCAGTTCTCCTCAGCTCTATGATGTTTTACAGCTTCTTTTAGCTCAGTGTTTTGATTTTCAGGCCCAAAGGTTCACTGTTTTAGTTTACTCTCCCTGCAATTCTAGCATAGTTTTCAGTGCAGCAGGGTGCTTTTTAAGCACCTCTGATATTCTACCTGCAGAGCACTAAATGATTGCTTATATTATAGTATACATAATATATAGTATAGTTATAGTATAGCTGGTTGTGTTGACTAGCATTTTGCTCTCTGATTATGTTAGCTAGTAAGCAGCAGTGTGCTGTATGAGCTGAACATGACTGTTTGGCTCTTACAGAGAGCAGAAGTCATATCGCCACATCTGGTTAGCCTCTGTTTCACTAGCTTCAGAGACTCTATGCAATCTCTCATTTAGCATTGTTTCATCTGTCATTTTATGAAAACTAAGCCTGTTCCTCTGGATTTTTTTTGTTCTAAGATAGGCCACCAACCAATACAACATTATTATTATTAGTTTGCTCTCTCTCAACACTTGTAATGGTTACCGCCATCTCTTGACTCGGGCTTCAGTTCAATTCTCCCACCAGGCGACCAGCACCAGCTGGTTTCAACCATGACAGGCTTGGGCTTTTGTGAAATGGTGTTCATTAAAGCCTGGTAAAAACAGAAATATTACGTTCATGTCAATAATAGGAAACTCACAACATGCCATTGAAAATGGCTGTGTTCAAAGGCTCGATTTTTAGTTATTAGCTATATTAGAAATCTTAGTGGGATTATCTTTCTTTCGCAACACAACCTGGAAGTTCCAGTTTCACTTCTGCTGGTTTGTTTGACATGTTGTTAACTGATTGCTGTTTTGCTAGCTCCACATAAATGTTGCTGTGTCTGATGGAGGCAACTGTTTGCTAATACATTTGCCATATCATCTTAAAAGGTGATAAAACTGTATATTAGTGTTGTGTTTGCTTTTCTCCCAAGTGGAAAAAAATCAGTTATTACAGGCAAATATATAAGAAAACAAAAATAACTGTTAGTGTATAAGTCAAACCCACTGATATTACTTACTGTATATGTCTGCAAGCTTTGTAGATGGTTTTAAGGACCAGACACAATCCTTGAGACATTTTCAAAGGCATTTGGAACAAGACCTTTGGGATATACTTCAGCTCTCGTCCTCAGCTCTCATATGAGCAGCTAAAATGGAGAGTAGGTAAGAGCCCGAAGTTACACAAGATGATGGAGGAAGAGAGTGGGGTGACAGTAGATGAGGGAGAGACAGTTTAAAAGATTGATGGCCATGGAAGGATGACGAAGAGTGATGAGATCAAAAGGAGGGCTTCTGTTTTTCTTTTCAGAAGAGACCTGTGGTTTCTCCAGGTGTAAATAAAAATACTACCCATGAAGTTCTTCTGCAGATAAACACACATGCCTGACAAAACTGACAGTAAAATACAAGTGAAATCACACACACACACACACACACACACACAACCACACACAGCAGCAGTGCTCATTAGTTCAGCTACCTAGTATAGCACACACTCTTAAAGTACTTTGTGAAGCGACAGACCAATTATCGGTGTGCGAAGCAAACCAGTGAACCTTCTTAACTGTCCACCAATTACTGTTCAATCTGATACACAGCATTTCCCCCCGAATGGTCACACACACAAAGATGCAGAGGAAGAGAAAGAGCAGCAAGAAATACATATGAGTGAGTGACTGACAGGAGCCATGGCCAATTGGAGCCAAGGGAGTGTGTCATTACCTTCACCCTTGTGGTCAACCTTTAAAGAAAGCCATGTTGGACAGCTGCCCTTACATTTGAATAAATGTCATTAGTTGAATGGGAGAGACCAAGCCTTCTTATCCCCTTCTTGTTAACTGATAAAGACAAGACATGTGGGACACTTGTCCTTAAATTGTGAGTAATTACAGGGTCTCAGGGCCAGACTAGGACAGACGAGGAGTGGATCTAAGAGAGACTTTTTTTTTTTTTTTGAGGAAATGTCACCTCGGGGGAATAAACAGCCTGCATTCCCTCAGCTTCCTCTACTTCATCAGCACAGACAGGCTCTTGGGAATTGAAGTTCCAAATTATAGTCATTAATCTCCTTAAAACACATTCTGGTAACAAACATGTCTCATAAGCAGTGCGTGCCCATTTGCTATAATAACTGAAGATTTCAAAACAAACAGTGTCTGTAATAATGTTCAGGGGACTTGAAGGTACAGAACAGTTTTTCTGAGTTTGAAGTGAAAGTCTTTGATTTTGAGTGGTTAGGGTGCTACAAAACCACACAATGTGAGGTTATCAATGGCTGTGCAGAGATGACTGGAATAGTTTAATTTGATCATGGCTTGCAGGCCACGACCAGGGTAGTGTTCATCTCCAGGCCTATTGTTGCCATTTGTGTGAAATCCAAAGCATCTTCTGGGAGCTTTGCTTGAGAAGAAAGATGGCACATTGTCAACACATTCCCCATCCTGAAAGCCCCCGGAGGACTTGCGTATTTCTGTCTGAAGGAGGATAGTAGTTTCAGTGTGTATAGTTGTCATAGCTCCAATTCAATCACATAAGAAAATGGATGAGTGACTCATGGTTTTGTGGTAATATTTTTTGTTCCGAAGTAGCTGTACTAGA